TTCATATCCCCCACCATCTGTCCCAATGGATTCAGCTCATGACAGGGAGACAAGACAATCCAACGTGTCCAGTTCAATCATTTCTTCATATCCCCCACCATCTGTCCCAATGGATTCAGCTCATGACAGGGAGACAAGACAATCCAACGTGTCCAGTTCAATCATTTCTTCATATCCCCCACCATCTGTCCCAATGGATTCAGCTCATGACAGGGAGACAAGACAATCCAACGTGTCCAGTTTAATCATTTCTTCATATCCCCCACCATCTGTCCCAATGGATTCAGCTCATGACAGGGAGACAAGACAATCCAACGTGTCCAGTTCAATCATTTCTTCATATCCCCCACCATCTGTCCCAATGGATTCAGCTCATGACAGGGAGACAAGACAATCCAACGTGTCCAGTTCAATCATTTCTTCATATCCCCCACCATCTGTCCCAATGGATTCAGCTCATGACAGGGAGACAAGACAATCCAACGTGTCCAGTTCAATCATTTCTTCATATCCCCCACCATCTGTCCCAATGGATTCAGCTCATGACAATGTTCCTTCGAAACTTTTTTGTTGTTTTGTTTTTGGAGGATGGTCATTTCTGTTTTTGTAAGGATGGGTTGGGTTTTTTGTGGGAAATTTTTGTTGTTGTAATTTTTCTTTTGTTTTTATCATTATTATTGTTTTGTTTGTTGATTTTTTTTAGGAACTCTGTTTCTAAAGCAAAGGCAACATCAGACCACACGCCTGGTCAGTTGTTTGTTGTTGTTTTTTTCCTTTTTGTTTTTTTAGAGCAAAAGGAACATTATTAATATTAAGTGCCTGGTTATTATTTTTGTTTGGTAATTTTTGTTTAGTAATATTTGTTTTTGGTTTGGTAATTCTTTTGTGTAATGATTTTTGTGGGGTTGGTAATTTAAAAAAAACATGTTATTTTCCTTGTTTTTTTTTGTTTTTTGGAATGTATTTTTCTTGTTAAATTATTTTTTTCAAAGCAAAAGCAGCATTAAGGTCTATGTGCCGGGTTATTTATTTGAAAAAAAAAATTATAGCATTTTTCAGAGTTTTTTTTTTTAAAGCAACATAACGTGCCTGGTTATTTTTTGTTTAATTTTTTTTTTGGGGGGGGGGGGGGGGGAATTAAAATAAAAAGCAAAAGCAGCATTATGTACCTGATTATTGGTTGTTGTTGTATTTTCTTGTTTGTATTTTTTTTGGTGTAATTTTTTGTTTGTATTTTTTTGTGGTTGATTTTTTTTTTTAAATGTAGGTTTCATCTCGAGAAGGGTGCGCGAAAACGGGGCTGGAAACTTTTAGCAAAACCGGTCCCAGACCGGCTAGCATTAATCCCCAAAAGCCGACGCCTGGCCAGGAAAAATGCTAGTACCTATTTTCTGCTAGTCTTAGGTTTGACTCGGCTCCGCCGCGGCTCGAACCCTCGAGGGAAGGAGCCACGGGTTGACCTCCCAGCGCGAGGCGGACGTCTACGCAAGGCCACCGAGCTGGTGAAGAAAGTGGTCGCCGAAACAGGCTAGTCACTGGGGACACCACAGACGGACAGATCGCTGACAACGGCCAAAAATAGCTGCTCACCACCACAACAACAACAACAACAACAACAATCACTCACGTGGTTGTCGCCACTCTCAGAGCGGGGGCTCTGCTGGGACAGACACCGTTTTGTTTACTTGGCTGACGTCACAGCCACGAGCCACCGAAACAAAACGTGGGCTGTCACAACAGAGCCCCCGCCAACCACCCACTTAGAAACCGTGTTTACTTTAGTTTTAGTAAGAGTTTTACGGCGCTCGTAACTGCATAAGATCAACCGTGTAGACTGAGGCCAAATGTAGACATGGTAGAATGTTGTTTCCTTTGTCGGAGGATAGATCCCCTCCGCCACTGTAGCTGAAGAATGTTCTGTGCCCCAACATGACCTTTCACCTCTACCCCCTCAGCGCTCCTTGTTTTCCCAAGCCCTGTCTGTCTTTCTCGCCGCCTAGCACAAATCCGGTAGATTTGACACCTGTATTATCTGTGTGGCGGTAGAACAGGTACAACATGGGAAACTACCGGGGAAATGGTGAGACAAGACAATCCAACGTGTCCAGTTCAATCATTTCTTCATATCTTCCACCATCTGTCCCAATGGATTCAGCTCATGACAGGGAGACAAGACAATCCAACGT